GCACGGTTACACGTACAAATTTTGTACGGAGATCAATTTCCTGAGAACAATATGGCTTATTATGTTTTGAGAGAAAACTCAAAGGAACAAGGAATTCTGATTAAAATTTCTCAAGGGAAAATCTAAAGTCTTTCTTTCTGAGATCTTCCTTTCTTTTAACTATCACGATGTAACGTTAAATTATTTTTTAAAATTATATGCTACAGAATAAAATGGATCAAAATAAAATAAAATAAAATAAAATAAATGGTTAGATAAATAAGTGCCTAATGCATATATTATTTACATACTTCAAACTAAAATATATATTCAAGATATATATACAACTATACAAGATATATTCAAAACTGCTTGGAAGTCGATATTTCTACAGAGCGAGATATGCATTTCTTGAGAAGAAACTGCTCGGATGATTGGACCTAAGTCGGCCCGTTTTCAATTAAATGATATTATATTAATTAAACATCAAGTAATATCAATATGCTACATCATATAATAATTCGCATAATCAACACACTAATTATTCCATTAACTTGATATTAGTTTATATTAATTTTGTTATTGTTTACTTTGCTATAGGTAAGGAAAACAGAACAAAAGATATTCGATCTATATTATAGAATACTTATACACACAAAAACATGTATAAATATCATATATATCAGTGTGAAAAAGGCTTAAAAAAACGTTAAAATAATCCAGAGAAATCGTGTCCATTCAAAAAGTAATCAAACCACGACTGCAGTTTGAAGTAGCAAACCAATGAACCGTGTGAAATTTCACGTAATTATCCAGAAGTAATGCCGTCGGGGAGCGTAACGCCTCCGCAGTCACTGTTAGCTTAATCGAGATAGCTTCTTTTTTTAATTCCGCGTAATGTCTGCTCCGGGAGTCAACCTCTTTCCGAAGTCACAACGAGAAAACTTGCATTAACAGAACGATGGGATGTAGACACGGTGCACACACAGCGCCTTTTGTGAAATTATCGCCTTTTATAATATAAATGTCTAAATTTTCCGTCATAATTTTTTTCCTCCGTTCCAAACTCGAATAAATTACAGAGCGAAAGTGTATCTCGCGATGCAAAATAATTAATTTCAGTCAAGAAATGCATATCTCGCTCTGCAGAAATGTCGACTTGCAAGCAGTTTCGAATATATCTTGTGTATTTTAGTTTGAAGTATGTAAATAATGTAGACACTAGGCACTTATCTTATATATCTAACTATATATTTTATTTTATTTTATTTTGGTCCATTTTACTCTGTAGCATATAATTAGATATGTGACGTTGATACGTGTTGATTATGCGAATTATTACACGAGGTAGGCAATATTGATATTACTTGACGTTTAATTAATATAATACTCGTTTAATTGAAAACGGGCCGACTTGGGTCCATTCATCCGAGCAATTTCTTCTTAAGTAAATCAAAAGTAAAAGTTCGAACTCCCCACTCGAGTCTGTTTCCCATCGTTCGCCCCTATTAGCGAAGAATGAACTCTCTTCTTATTACGACAACCAGTTTAAGCTAGTCCCACATTATACGCGAACGAGGAAGGGAGTTCTTCGCCTAGTGCGTATCCCGAACCGGATTCGTTCGGTCGTTCGCCCTTCTGTCCGGTCCTGCACCTGCTCCGAGTATGGTCGGCGCATTGAAAAAGCGCATCCGTACAATCCGAACGAACCAACCAACGAACGAACGAACGGACGAACGAATAAACGAGCGTACGAACGAGCGAGCAAACAAAGAGAGTTCGGTCAGTGCAGTCAAGTGCACTGTATAGTTTACGCCGGGATCGCTGAAGCATTTTTCGTGTAGCCCGTACGCCTCTCCTCGCGAATTCATTCACGCGCGCTCAATGTTATTTCTTTTTTGGGAGGGCAAAGATATTATCGGAAATGGAATAATTAAAGAATCGCAAAGCAAATTCCATCAAGTTGGCCGCGGACGGCCAGGGGGATATTTGGGTTGCCGCAAAAGTTTCTGTTTCGCGAGAGTCTCGCTAGCCGAGCTTTTCTCCGCAGCCGCGCTTTCCCTCCGCAGCGTTCTGGGTATAGGGAACTGGAAGATTCAACAGACCGAGTTCAGCATTACGGATTAATATTCTCTGGAGGAAGCACGTAACCTCGCGCCGTCGGGCTCTCGTTATTACCGTCTGTGGTGTCGAATGAGATGCCTCTCGCGCGAGGCTGCAGCCCCATATTCCGAATTCTCTAGCGAAGTTCCCTGGTGAACGCGAAACGCGCGCGCGCGCGCGTACCCGCGCGCGTTCATCGCGCGTAGGATACGCGCGCTTTCCTTTCATAATTCTTTCTCCGAGTCTTTTGATCCGCGTTTCGTCGTCGTCGTGCAGCGAAGCGAGAATCGCACGTAATTTATTCGCGCAGTCGAGTAAATTAATTATTTGCATGCCAACGCTCGCGTTTGACGGAGCAGACTCGCGAAACGTGCCCGATATTAACGCGCCTTCACAGGCCTTTACAGCAGTGAATTTTAATCAATAGCCGTAAACTTCGTTTTCATTTAAAAAGAAAAAAAAACAGATTGATCGGTCGGCGTTTTCGTTCGATGAATATATTGCGTTGCCGACAGCACAAAATCGTATTAACCCGATAAAATCTTCATCAGGCGTATGCCGGATGTAATATCTTGACGAATAATTGAAGCGTACGTCTACGTATATATATATATATACATACGATCGTAAGAAAATATCCGACGAGAAAGCATTCAGAGTATAAACTATACCACGTACAAACCTAAACACGCGCGCGCGTCGTTAGCATGATATACAAAATTAAAATTTCACTGGTAGGGCCTTCGGAATTACGATGCGATATTTTCCCGAGGAGGCACGTAACAGCCGGGCCGGGGCTGTCGTGTTCCGTTATCATTGTCGGCGGCGGCGCCGAGTAGGACACGCCACCTCCTCCTCCTCCTCCTCCTTACTCTCTCTCTTTCGCTCTGCACGTCGGCCTCGTGCTCCAAATTCTTTATTAAACGCCTAAGAGATTTACTCGAAACTATCCCCGAGATTCCATTAAACTGGCTTAATAACATTCGTTCTTGACGCGGGCGATTGTCTCGATTTCGAGTGGAGATAAAACTTTAGGAGTGGATTTGGAAATTTGCGCGTCACGCTCCTTCCGGCGCGGTGCGGCGTCTCTTTTCAATCCCACGGTATACACGGACGCGCCCTGTTATTTCGTAAATAATTATATTGAAATGCAAAGCTATGCTCTAACGCGAAAAAAACATGACAAAGGATCGCGGCCGTATTTTTCTTTCCGCCCGAACATGACACGTATGTCGTGTGCCGTGCTTTAAATACATATAAATCTAACCACGATGCAACGCAATGATTTTTGCACGAACATTCGCTGCAAAAAAAAATACCACCTCTCAAAATGCCATCACGTGTGTACTTTGCGTACAAAAGTTTACTTCATTTTCATACGCGATTGGACATAATTTCACGCTGACCTTAAGAAACGCTCTTTACGTGAATGCTTTCGTTCGAAAAACATTCACCGATCTCTTCTTGGTCTGCATGCAGTTTGCAGCAGCCTCCGCGATCCCCGGCGTTATTTCCTGTGCGATAAACGAATGGACGTTCTGTAAATAGATGCGCCTCATCCCGCTTTTCTTTCGAATCATATTCTTCGCGAGTTCTCAAAATGCGAGTGTATTTATGACATTCCAACGTAGCGCGAGATTGGAATTCCATTCAAGTTAAATGCTCCGGATGTTAAACATTTAAACGTTGAGTTTAATATTATAACATTCCGCGTAATTACACAACAATGCAGCAACATCAATGAACGGCTGAAAATACCGCAGGTGCCTAATTTATAATTACAAATGATTTATTTAAATAAAATATATGTAGATTTGGCTTTTAAACAAAATGTCCGTATGGATTTGGCAAACGGACGTTGTTGCAACGTTCGAGCATTAAAATGGTTTGTTAGATTTAAGTATTCGCGGCGCTTAGCGCCATTCTGAAAATATAAAAGATAATAATACGTTCTCGTCGGCGGTGTCGCGAAAACGCGTGCAGGAAACTGCAAACGACGCCTTATACACGTAATCTCGCGATATCGCGACAGCATTCCATGGCGGGGTTGGCCGGCATTATTACACTTTATACCGTACGATAACTCATAATCTCTTTTGCAGTAAAACTTCGCAGAAAGTCGCGCGAATTCTTTTCCGATGCGCCGTGTAATTCGCTCCGTAATGTGGCTCCCGCCTTCCCGGGCCGGGGCGGACAGAAGTCACGTAGCTGCGTTTAGCCAGCATCCTCGTCGCGGTCGGCGCGAGACGCGGAGCGCGGAGGCACCCCGACGACCGCGGCGGCGACGGAGCGGCGCGGCGCGGAGGCAGAGAGGTCCCTGCACTCTCGCGGCCTTCGTTTGTACGTGCGCCGTTCGTACGGCGTACGTACGTGCATACGAGTATACGTACGCACTTGTCGTGGGTTTTCACGAGGCCGTGCGGCGCGGCGCGGCGCGGCGCGCGGTGCATCCGCCGTCGCGCGTCGGAGCAACGAGCAACGAGCAGCAACGACGTAGGACGCGTGGCGTGCGCATGCGTCGTTAGCCGCCGCCACCATCGCCGCCGCCGCCGCCGCCGCCGTTGCTGCTGCCACCGCCGCCGCCGCCGCCGCCGCCGCCGTTTCCACCACCGCCGCCAAGTTCATCTCGCATCCCCTCCGAGTCGTGCCGCCGCCACGCGACTGTAGCCCCCACCAGAAGCGTAAGCGTGTGTCACGCTCCGGATAGCTCTCGGTGCGTGCCCATTATTGAGGAGGGGGTAAGGGGCGCGTGTAGCAACGACGCTGGGGGTAGGGGTAACCTGGCCGTCGACGCGGTGGGGATGGAATTACGCTCGCGTAGGGACCGCCAGTAGTTCCGTGCTGTCTGCCGTGCGGGTTGGATACGACGTAACCGCGACGCGATAGTCTCGTCTCGTCTCGTCTCGTCACCCCTTTAGCCACCCTTACCCTGCGAAACGAACGTCGTCAGCAACGTCGAACCGCGCGCGCTCGTTTCTGTCTCTCTCTCACTCTCCTTCTCCCTCTTTCTCTCTCTCTTTCTCCCTCGCTCATTCTTTCTCCTCGAGTAGACCCGGGGACACGAGGAGTTCGATCGTGCGGAAGGAACGTCGCTCGCGCCTCTCCGCGTCCGCGCTTCGCACCTGGAGATTCTCTCATTTCAACCCCCGACGAGCGACCGCGTTTGGTGGACGCGCGCGAGTTATACATGTCGTGATGCCGCGGGGTGAGCGACGCGCGCCGCCGAGAGGACTCGCGGCCGAGGGTGCTTCGATCTCGTCCTGACGATACCAGCCCTCGTGCGTCACCCTGTCAGTGGACACTAGTGAGGTGCGTTCGGTAGAATAATGTTGGTGTGAGTGGGCAAGACCTCCCCCGCCTCCCTCCCGACACGCTGGTACTATCCGGGTTCGTCGGATGGATCGGGGATACGTCTTTAGAGATTGTGCCGGCTCTGTCCGCTCGTGATCTCGACGGCAAAACGAAGACGAGCGAGCGACGCGTTGACGCGAGACCCGTACTCTCTCTGCATCCCTCCTGTATGCGAAGTGTGTGCGACGTGTAACACGTGTGACAGTTACCCGTGGGATACCACCGCGGATTATACGTTTCTTCGACCGCAAAGGGGTGGTTGGAGGCGCCGTGTGCGGGATTACACATACGTATACACACGTACACGCACACACACACGCACACGCACACACACATATATATACACATAAACACATACACATATCTCAGTGGTTCTCCTTGGTGCGCGTTACGGCGGATTCATCCCTAAAGGATATGTCGCTATAGTAGTGCTCGCACGGATCGCAGCTACGATGGCCGGATACTCCAGTGCGCTCAATACGGATTTCGCTCCGGAATCAGCGCGGAGGATGCAACGATCTGCGATCGATGCTATCGAGGATGCCAGGGAATCCTCCGGATGCGCGATAACGAGGTACATACCTTACGTTTTGAGAAGCTGCTATACGATATTACTTAATTAGCTAATATCCCCGTTTGAACCGCGATATTTAAAGGGTCGAAAGTTTAAGCATAAAAAAAAACACGTTCGCTCACGTGCGAACTCTTAATATTGTGGAGTAACGCAAGAAAAATGTAATCATTTAGATTGTACGTGTTCAGGTACAAGATAGATTGTACTGAAAGATCATCAATTTATGTTAAAAATTTACTTGTGCATATTGCATGTCATGCACTTTAAATATCAAATACTCGGTTGCGTCAGTTAAATACATAAATTTAAATACACATGAAACGTTCGTTCAAAGAGCGCTGCATACACGTATTTTTGGCGATTATTACAAGCCCTGTATATTGCGTTACAGAGTATAATATATTCCGTTTCAAATGTAATATATAAAAGCGAGTTCATTCCAATTTATAAGAATGAATAGGCATGCACTAGTCTGCGAATTGCGTGGAAAAAAAATAAAGGATTCTTCCCTTCTTCTTAAAAAGTTTCAGAAGAGTACAGCGCTCTTTGAAGGGCGGCTTTAAATGAGAAATTACTTTTTAATTACCGCACTCCGCGTAGTCATAAAAATGTAAACAACCAATGAACCCGCGCGAATTAACGAAGAATTGTATGGCTATCGTGTACGCACATACGGCTGTTATTCTTCCAGGTAAATTTAGCATCTCGTCGTTTCATAATTAAACACGAGTATCGCGAGAACTCACTTTTGATCCCGCACCAGCCCGGATAAATCTAAAACATGTAAACGTTCGTCACATGTATACATTATACATATGCACATGCGTGCGACGCTACTCGCATTTGCCACAATGCAGAATAATCTATGGGGATTCCAGTGACAACGGTTTCCGCGTTCGTAGCGCGCTCGCGCGCCCGCGCGCGCGTGTGCGTGCGTGCGTGTGTGTGTGTGTGTACGTTCGACGCCTTAAAATATTCACGAGATCAATATTCCGCACTTGTCGCGATATACGATTTTAACATTGCGTCGCGTGACTTTTCGCGTGAATTTCGGCAACTGGATCAGACACGAGCAGAATGCGAGCTATTGAGATGTGACCTCTTGCGCAATGCGTGCTCATTTCTTGGGAGTTCAACCCTTTCCTCACCGTGATACATAATTGTAAGTCCGTCGGAGAGATTCGCGTTCTTCGGAGATATTTCACATAATTTTACATACAATTCGATTGCAATATCAATATAAATTTTATGTAAGAATAAGATCTCGCGCGATTTTTTTTAACATCTTGCACAGCACTCACGTTTACGTGAAATATCGTAGATTTATTAGAAAGCTGCTCCTCTAATTGATTACACGACGCGAATGTAGTTCCCGAAACAGGTACGGCGGGCCTAATGGACCCGTCCGCCAGGCGGTGGGGTTAAGTGACACGCGGTGAAATTAAATGCCGTTACCCCCGAAGAAATTTACGCGATCGATACAGATACGCGTGGTATAAATATGGCGCTATATACCAAGGTCCAAGAGATGCCAGATCGCCACATCGGCCGATGATAAATGGTCGAGTTAATGGCCGACGTACTATTAATGAGAAAGAGGATTTGTTGATGTCGGCAAAAATAAGCGACCGACGAATCAACGTAAAGGGTGGTAGATGTTTAGATTAAGCTTTTTGCTCGTTCGTCTTTGTTAGAGTCTGGCCATCATCGTTGGCAGTAGATTTGGACTCGACGTTCTTTCGATTCTCCATATAGTCGAAAAATTCTCTTTGCTGATTATAATATGCTTACTCACAAACACATTTGTTTAAAACTGTTTACGAAATATCAAAATTGCAAAGTGCATTTTTCATTTCCCGGGATTTCATGGATTAATTAATTGTTACATAACACTCGCTTCTTTGAAATATCTAATATTAAAAATAAAAGAATAGATTTCTGTTGATTTTTAATGAAGAAAAAAAAGAGAGTCCAAACCAACACGAGTTTTTGAAAGAGCTTTAGCCCATTTGTAGCCCAACATAGGTAGTCTCGAGGAAAGTAGGTATGTGAGGGAGACGAAACGAGCCTGGCTTCGCCATTTTATAGGGAAATGAAGATAAAGTTGGCAAAGAACGTCCTTGCCTTTCATCTGCGGTTTCTTTGAAGGATTTGGAGAATATTATCCCTTAACAAAAATGTTAGATTAAAAACGTAGGAACTTTCACTAATTAATGAGTAAAGAGATAGATAATAAAACTTAATTCTTCATTTAATTTTAAGCAAACTTTACTGTAATAGAATTTTAAGAGAGTTCATGGTTAGTTACAAAGAGATATTTAAAGTTGAATATCGAATTTTTGCTAAGGAAAAATGGACTCCAAATTAGTTAAGAATCCCGTAGATGAGAAGAAGTTAAAGAAGCATACAGTATGCCATGCATGTTAAGCGCTCGTTAAATTCGTTCTTGTGGAAACTAGAAACTTAAACTAAGAATCTATGCGACGTAAATTTATTAATTCATCACAATATTTATTATTATTGAAAGACGAAATTTAAGAAAATTTAATGATTAATTACCTAGAAATAAATTACGAAATAAATTAGTCTCAGTACTCCCTCGATATACCTTCCGCGATTACCTGAAATATAATCGAGGTAAGATTCTTTCAAAAAGTTGGCGCTCGTAATTAAACTTTTCTCGGCAAATGAAAATTGGACGGAACAACTTTATCTGTGTCCGTCCGAGTGTAATTTTATTATCTCCCACGGATTCACAATAAAACACATTTATCCGCCGTTGTGAACTGTCGCACCGTAAACAATCGCCACGTAGATTACAGATTTTACGCGACGACTTCAGGCTTTTTCCATCGAAGCCTTGATTTATTGCATTACACTTGGTACTGACGCTTACACTACCGCCGGCCCCTTCAGGCAACTCAGGCTGAGTTTTATTTACTTTTAGCGAATCGATCGACCGCGGGGGTTAGTGCTAGAGGAGAGACTAGGTGGTTGCTGGCGCGCCAACCCCCGGCGATGCGAGCTTACGTGGTCCCGGCAACTCCGGGGGTAGCCTGGCCTTTCGTTCCTCCTAACGTTATATCATCGCCTACTTTCCTCTAACCGTGAATTTACGTCGACAGATCGGCCTGAGGATCGGCACGATTCTCTTTCGCCCCCCCCCCGTAATGCTTTACGAATCGACACGTACAAAAACACATGTACGAAATATTGCGCGAATCGATTGAGCTTCTTGTGTGCGCAGTCGTACCTTCCGTTATGTTCGAATTTCAAGGTCTTCAACGTGAATAAAAGATGAAATCTGTTCTTTTATATTTTATCGCTCTCGTGTCACTGCATAAACGTATGATCTCTTCATTCACAGTATATGTACATTGAATAATTTATTAAATATATTTACGAAAAACTGCAGAGTGTAACAAACAATACTGGCATAATAATGTGAATTATAATTAATAATGAGTTAATTTGAATTAATAATCTTAAAATTATACGGTAGAATGCAACTTGAAAACATACATATTTGCTTTTTTAATATAAAGAAATTTAAATGTTCCAAACTCTTGCGAAGAAATTACTTTAAAAAAAAAATCGCCTTCAACTTTGCATATTCGCGAACCAGAAAGGGAAATTGATCAGAACTTTTGTTTGCAATTGAATCGGCTTCAGCCGTAAGTATTAACTTTGGCGAGAGTTCCAGATAACTCCCGAAGAATTCTACCGATAATCTTTCTTATGACTGAAATTGATCTTGATACAAAGGAAAACGCGATCAATTTTCATGTAATGCAGACATGAATTTAGATGACACAAATTCCTACTTTTTGTATTTATTCGTGGAACCGTTTAACACCAATAAATAATTTTTTTCAGGATTCATCATTATCGAAAAAGACCTGGAATCGTATTGTGAACATACCAATTGTGTGGAAATCTAAAAATGCGATATTAACACAGATGCGTGCGATTTTGTTCTCGTCAATAAATAGCGATAACAGAATATATCGATTGTTTCGTTTATCTGCTAGCACACGGAGGTAATTTAGTCCGAAGAGAATTAACAAAAATGAAAGCGTAAATGTTGTTAATGTCACAGGGCTATAGCGCGGCAACTATGCTCTGACGATTATACGATCTGAATTATTCACAATACAATCCGAGCGTAATTCGATCATACATACGCTGTACGTTTTATCAAGAATTAATTTTCATTCGGAGAACCATAATTAATAGCAATCTGTTAATAATGAGCAACAATAGGGAGAAAATAGTAATGCACCGGACGGAATACAAGCAGCTTTATTGATTATCATCGACAATGGATAAACAGAAGGAGAGTTACGTCCATAGGATCGGGGATAATGTGCTAAATCGCGCACGCGAGAAAGTCGCACGATTTAATTTAGATGAATGCCGTACATATATTTATATATATATGTCATTCGTCTAAATTAAATTGTCGGCGCATATTACTGTGTCAATTAAATATTTAACAGTAAAAAAGTGGTAGAGAACCTGATAAAATGCTGAGAATGCATTAGCAAAAAAAAAATGACGTTAATAAAATCGCGTTAAATATTTTGTGCGCCGACTGGATTAATTTTTCTCGATTTTTTATTCGAAAGTCCTCTTTACATTTTATAAAATTCGCGTGTACCAGGTGGCCGCGTCAGGTGGCCTACAAACGTGTCACGAAAATTCCAAGTGGCGGATTTGCAATCAAACGTTTTATTGCGAACGAATCGTGATATTAAACTAAGATTTCAATCTGCCTCGTCGAGAGACCTCGTACCTTTCTCTCGAGCAAGCCCTGTTATTCTTCCGTCTAAGTGTTTTTCTAACGCATTTTCATCCGCCGCGCGGCGGATTGGCGCGACGGATTCGCCGCGCTACGTGCGAATATTAAATCGCTATCCATCCACCCTCCTCGCCGACTGCCTAAATTAAAATTCCATCTACGAATTCCATCTCGTCGCGCCTACGCGACTATTCCTCGG